CCTCGGGGACAGGGGTGCAGACGAGAGGGCTTGGAGCTCTGCATCTGCAACCCAGAGAGGATGCCGCCGCTTGATGCTGTGTTTTCTTCATTATATGGTGATGTTCACTTTAATATAAAAATAATGCTGCTGCTCACATCCTCCCAAATTCTTTGTAAGCTGCACGATGGACTCCGTGGGTGAACATCCCAGCCTGCTTCCCCAACATGGGGGAATGGGGGCTTGGGCCAACGTAGTAGGGTCAAGCCCATCTCCCCACTGTTCACTCCCGTCCCTGTTACCCCCCACGGTGGAGCCCCATCATATCATCACACAGTGCAGGTCCCCACGCTCCGTGCTGTGCACTTGCCGCTGGTTGTCCTGAAACCCAGCTTTCACCTGGACATTTCCTATGCTCCAAAACCTTCAGTGGTTCCCCAGCATCTGCAGAAAAAGCCCTGGCCCTGTATCCCACAGTTCGAGGGCTTCTCCCACTCATGCCAGCTGCCCCTGGAGCCTCACATCCTGCTGCTTTTCTGCACAGAAGTGCTTCACTCCAACCGGGCTCCCTGACTCCAAGTTCCCACCTGCACCGTGCTCCCTCCCTTATGGAGACCTCCCTGGCCCCCCAAACCCAGGGCAACCCCCATTTTCAGTGCAGCTCTCCTGACAGTTCCTACATGCAGGCCTGTGTCCTTTCTGGCCAAGTCCACTGAGGCCTAGGAGGCAGAGTCTATACTCCCCAGACTCTGGCCCACACTCAGCACAGAGTAGGGTCCAGGAAATACATGCCAACTAATGAGCCGATGCTGCACGCAGCCTCATACCACAGCCAGGCCTGTCCGTACGCTGGCACCTGGGTAGTTGTGATCCGGTGAGGAGTCCTGGCTGATAGGTGGTTCAGAATCGTAGCAGGACCTGGTGAATNAGAGATCCTAAGTGCTGGAGATCAGGCTGATACTGGGTGCCCCAGGAAAGTGACTGACCTCGCAGTCCCAGACAAACTGACGGAAATCTCAGTCATGCCCCCAGTAAGTGTCTTTACACTCAAGTGTCCCTACATGCAACTGATAAAAAAATTCTGCAGGTAACTTCAGGTGGTATACACACACACACACACACACACACACACACACACACGCACACACGCACGCACGCATGCACACATGGCCACCCTGGGGACTGTAGAAGTTGGAGCATGTGAGGTGTGAACACCACACTGCTCGTCACAGGAACAGCAGGCAGCTGCTCTCTAGCCTGGTCAACAGAACAGAAGCAGGTACACATTATCTCTGCGGAGCGTCCACAATTGTGACGTTCTCTTGCAGCCGCAGGGAAGAGAGATGCAAACAGGAAGGTTTTCTTGAACCTTCTGGTCTCTCACCTTCAAAGCAACCTGGCCCCACCAGGTTATTCATTCACTNACCATGTCTCCTAGCATCACCATATCCCTCAACATCACCGTGTCCCCAGGGTCACCATGTCCCCAGCACCACTGTCTCCCCCAGAGTCACCATGTCCCCAGCATCACCATGTCTCCCAGCATCACCATGTCCCCCAGTGTTGCCATGTCCCCAGAGTCATTATGTCCATTAGGATCCCTGTGTCCCCCAGCATCCCCTTTGTGTCCCAGGGCTTCTCCTCTCTGCAGGCCTTCTTGTGCAGAGACAGCCTCTCTCAGCTTCTCAGGGACCGTATCTCTGAAGGGCGTTTGAGGGAAGACAGGAGCCTGTCCTAGAGCTAAGACAAAGACCTGGCTCCTTGGGGACCCAGGCGAAAGCATAATCCCCAACAAGCACTCAATTGGATGACTGCCCCTTTCTTCTGGCATTCTTCTAGAATATAATCCCTTTCTGAACTGGAATTCTTGATCTCCAACTGGGCCCTTGATATAAAAAGCGAATGTGACCCGAGAGATCCTAAGTGCTGGAGATCAGGCTGATACTGGGTGCCCCAGGAAAGTGACTGACCTCACAGTCCCAGACAAACTGACGGAATCTCAGTCATGCCCCCAGTAAGTGTCTTTACACTCAAGTGTCCCTACATGCAACTGATGAAAAAATTCTGCAGGTAACTTC